CCGACTGATCGCGACTTCGCAGCCACTGCACCTAACACCCACAAACAACACAAAAAAATAAACAAGCCAAACAACTATGTACACCAGCGCTCTTACCACAACCTGATAAGCAGCCACGCGGAGAGCACTAAGATAGTGCAAAAAACACACAGATTAATAAATTACAAGCATAATAAATGTTGGATAGGAGAAATAATAATTAGAAATAAACTAATATACTAAATACAGTAAGACACTGTATAGATATAACCACAACATTAATTAATCCCTATAATTCTCCTCCAGAGTATGCACAAGAACAGGCATCCTTGCACGCCATCCCAGCGCTGCCTATTTGTTCGACGGCCGGCGCCACCGTACACGCTGCAGCATGCGTCACGCGCCACCTACTTGGGATTGATGTAGAGGGCGACCGGTTTCGTCGGACTGCTGCTGTCTCGATGTACTTTGAAGCGGGAAAGAGAAACTCACTCACGCAGGTCTTCCAAAAGATTTTACCTGCAGGGAGAGACAATGAGAGTAAGAGGTCATGATGTGTAAAGAGAGATGGAGAGATAGAGACAGAGACAAAGAGACAAAGAGAGAGAGAGAGAGAAAGAGAGAGAGAGAGAGGAAAGGCAGAGGGAGAAGGAGAGTCACAGAGAAGAGAGAGAGGAGAGAGAGAGTCAGAGATTAGAGGGAGAAAGAAAGAGAGAGAGAGAGAGCGCCAGAAAGAAGTTTAGAGAGAGGGAGAGAGGAAAGAGCAAGAGAGAGCGAAAGAAGAGATAGAGAGGCTGAGAGAGAGAGAGAGAGAGGAGAAGCGAAGCTGAGAGAGACGAGGACGGTGCGTGGTAACCGTGACGAAGACGGTGCGTGGTAACCGTCACGAGGACGGTGCGTGGTAACCGTGACGAAGACGGTGCGTGGTAACCGTGACGACGACAGTGCATGGTAACCGTGACGAGGACGGTGTGTGGCAACCGTGACGAAGACGGTGCGTGGTAACCATGACGAGGACGGTGTGTGGTAACCGTGACGAGGACGGTGCATGGCGACCTTGACGACAACGGTGCGTTGTAACCGTGACGAGGACGGTGCATGGCGACCTTGACGACAACGGTGCGTTGTAACCGTGACAACCACGCAGGTGGGAACCGTTGCGACGACGACGCGTGTGGTAACCTTGACGACGTGTTTGCAGACGATGGGCGTGCTGGAGTTTACGGAGACGGTGGGCTGCTTCATGCGCATCGCGTGGGCGGCTGCCGCGGGCTGCCTCCACCTCGCAGCCTCACCACAGCCCATCAAGGAGGGCAACAGCATCTACGGCAGTGATCGTCGCATTAGACAAGGCAGCACAGGTAGGATGCTATGTGGTTACTGCCAGTCTCTAATAATTTATTTGTGCGTAAGACATATTTACATTCAGTATACAACGATACATATTAGAATGAAAGGTCACAATACATAATGTGATAGATATAGCACTGGGGTGGCGAAAGACCCTCAGGTCATCAAAGTCTGCCAGTGGCGAAAGACCCGCAGGTCACCAAAGTCTCTCTCACTCTCTCTGTCTCTCTGTCGCTCTCTCTGGCTCTCTCTCTCTCTCTCACTCTCTCTCTCTCTTGCTGACCTCGCTTGCTCTCTTACACTCTTTTCCCTTCTCGTTCTCTACCCCTATCTCACTCTTTCTCCCTTGTCTCTCTCTCTCTCTCATTTCATCGCTCTCTCTCTCTCACTTCTCGCACTCCCCATCTCTTTCCCGTACTGTCGCTCTCACTCCTCCAACCTCTCGCTCTCACTCACTCACTCCCTCTCTCAGAAACGCATTAGACACGCCCCTCGTGTTTCAGGCAGCACGACGAGTTCTAACAGCGACTCGGGGGAGCCACAGTCGCTGCACGGCGGCATCTGCGTGCAGCAGCAGCAGCCGATCAGCAGTAAGGATGTGTTCATCGCGCAGGAGGCCCTCGAGCTGCTCGTCACCTGTCTGGAGCTGAGATGTCAGCTGCTGAGTAAGCAGACACCCGCGACTACAGTGACGACGATGATGAAGACGATGATGACGATGGTAATGATGACGATGATGATGACGACGATGACGATGGTAATGATGACGATGATGATGACGACAATGACGATGGCGTAATGATGATGATGCACGATGGTAAAGATGGACGAGGATGATGATGACGAGATGATGAACGACGATTGGACGCATGATGCATTGACGACACGATGACGATGGTAATGATGATGATGACGATTGGTAATGATGGACGATGATGATGCGATGATGCGGACGACCGACAGCAATGCCGAGATATGACGATGAGCGACAACAACAACAACAACGGAGATACGGGGATAACAATGATGAAGAACGACGTAGAGATAGAGCGTTCGGACTTTGTGATCGGTGCCCATAAACACATATACTCCGGTACAGAAAACGCATTTTGTACGGCAGACTGTGTTAATGGTTATTAATTATTGTGATTAATGATGAATGACATCACAACATAACACGGTGCCGCGCCGCCTTCGTGCTGCCCTCTAGGTACGTTCTACAGGCATTGGCGCCTGGTCCTGGAGACTTGATCGTGGCATCGCTGCTCCGGCTGTCACGAACCACAGGAGCCTGCGCGGACCAAGGCCTCGCAAGCAGTCCTGCAGCTGTCGCGCACCGTGTGCCCGCCGCTGAGGAGGCGCGGCTGGCCAGACGAGTCCGCACCAGCGTTCATCTGCACGTGCTGCCTGCTGAAGGCGCACTGCCGCCTGTGGTGTCGTCCGCGCACCACCCGCGGGTCCAGTCAGATGGTAGCACGGAGGTCACGGTCGCAGGGTCAGTGCGTCGGCATCTAGGGCGTCAGAATTCAGATCTAGCTTCAAAGTCGGCGGATGCGATCTGGCGGGTCAGGACGTTTGAGTCGGCAAGATAGTCAGGATCCTGTTGACAGAATAAACATTTAGGGTACAGTGGATTGAGTATAGGGAAAGGTTGAGTCTAGATTCAAAGGGTTGGCGTCTACAAATAATAGAAGTCAAGTCAAAGGCGGCGGGGGTTTGAATCCTAGGGTGAGATAATGACATTTAAGGGATATGAAAACCAACAAATACTAGTTTTTGTTGATATTAATATTTGAATCATACCCTAGCTAAATCTTTTGCGTGGTGCGAACAGTAGCATTTCTATCGGTTGTAGCAACAGATATCTAGCTTTCTCGGCGCGAGCTCCATATGTTCCATATATTCTTCTCATGGACGGCTTGTAATTCTCTATAATAATTCCTGTACCATTACGTGAGCATAGAGAATAGTGAGTGACATAATTAACGATGTTAACAATGAACTGCTAGCGTTGACTCGTTATGCGTGGTCTAGTGTCATCGTGTCTTGATTCAGATTGCTGGCACAGTGCACGCAGTACTTGAGCCTACGGAGCGAAACTGCTGGGAAAATCTCACATCGTACGTATATGTCCAGAGGTGTAATCACGTTTGGTGTGTGTGGCGTATGTGCGTGCGCGTGTGTGTGTGCATTTACGGTGCGTCGCGTGTGTGTGTGTGTGCACAGTGTGTGTGTGTATTTTACATGACTTTATGTATCAACCCTGTGTTTTGGCAGTGACGCTTTTTTCGTATGTATTTACCTGTATATACCTGTATTTATGTATTTATGCTGTGTTTACCGTGTGTCGTGGTGACAGTGTCGGGAGCAGCAGGACCTGCAGGTGACCGTTTCCGCGATGCTCACGGACGAACTCGAGTGGCTCAACAACTTCTCAACGTCAGAGAAGCCGTCTCTGCGTTGCCGGGGACAACGCCCGCTGCTGCGGGACACTTCCGTCTCATCCGCTCGCTGCTGCTCATGTTGCGAGGGCATCCACAAACAACACGTGGTGCGTGCTCGTTTACAGCTCAGCCTGTCTCTCTCTCAGTCTCTCTCTCTTCTCTCTCTCAGCCTCTCTCTCTCTCTCTCTCAGCCTCTCTATCTCTTCGTACTCTCTCTTTCTTCCTCTCTCCTCTCTCTAACTTACTTCTGCGCTCTCTCTCTCTCTCTTCTTCTTCCCTCTATCTCTGACTCTCTCTCCTCTCTCTCTTCTCTGTGTACTCTCCTCTCCTCTGTCTTCCTCTCTCTCTCTCTCTTTCTCTCTCTCTCTCTCTTTGTCTCTTTGTCTCTGTCTCTATCTCTCTCCATCTCTCTTACACATCATGACCTCTTACTCTCATTGTCTCTCCCTGCAGGTAAAAATCTTTTGGAAGACCTGCTGAGTGAGTTTCTCTTTCCCGCTTCAAAGTACATCGAGAACAGCAGCAGTCCGACGAACCAGTCGCTCTACATCAACCCCAAGTAGGTGGCGCTGACGATGCTGCACGTGTAGGTGGCGCCGCCGTCGAACAAATAGGCAGCGCTGGGATGGCGTGCAAGGATGCCTGTTCTTGTGCATCTCTGGAGGAGAATTATAGGATTAATTAATGTTGTGGTTATATCTTACAGTGTCTTACTGTATTTAGTATATTAGTTTATTTCTAATTTATTATTTATCCTATCCAACATTTATTATGCTTGTAATTTTATTAATCCTGTGGTGTTTTTGCACTATCTTAGTGCTTCTCCGCGTGGCTGCTTATCAGGTTGTGGTAGAGCTGTGTACATAGTTTGTTTGCTTGTTTATTTTTTTGTTTGTTTGTGGGTGTAGGTGCAGTGGGCTGGAGTCGCGCGTGGCTGCGTATCAGGTTCTGGTAGAGCTGTGTACAGGCTGCCTGCAGAATCAGCAGCTGGTCAGCGGACATCTCATCAACATGCACCACAAGCTGGCCACAGACATCGGCAACGAGTGGGAGGTGAGTCATCAATCGGTTTTAGGCTCCGTATAGAACTACCTATTGGCAGAATTTATAACGAATGGCTAAAATTGAACTTTAAAAAAAATAGTAATGTGCAACAATTTTTGGGTGACCGTTGATGATGTTACCAGGATGATATATTTATTTTATATCCAGATATAAACCTGGTTCTATGAAGTGTCAAACGTGTTTGAATAATAATCTTTGGACTTTTGCCCATGGCCTATTTCTCATTATTACCCGATATCCCAACTGTTAATGACAAGACCATTTTGATTTCTTGGGTGTTTTATTTTCATCGCTAGACTTCAGTTTAATTAGTTAATTTAGTTGACTAATTCTACGAATAAGAATAATACCCTAATATATTTCCTGATAATATTAACATTTCCAAATATTTATATTTCGTATATGCAAATATAATATGATGCATACTCTGCGTGCTCGTGTGACCTTTCGTGACCAATCGCGACCTCTCATGCAGTACTTACCGCCCGTGGACGGACGTGCTCCATGCGGGTTCGTCGGGCTGAAGAACGGGGGCGCCACCTGCTACATGAACTCAGTGATCCAGCAGCTGTACATGCAGCCGGACATCTGTCAGGCTCTGCTAGCTGTGGAGGGCGAGGAGAACGAAGATAGGTAATCAATAATCAATAATCATTTACGATGTTAAAACACAGAAGGCTGCAGTACCATCGGAACATACCATGTAAAATACCACCGGATACACGCATATACACGTGCACCACTGTACCATCTCTCTTGCAGTGTCTTCTACCAGATGCAGGTGGTGTTCGGAAACCTGCTCGAATCCAAGCTGCAGTACTACTCGCCAACAAAGTTCTGGGACACGTTCAAGCTGTGGGGACGGCCGGTGAATGTTCGCGAACAGCAGGATGCGTTCGAGTTCTACACGGACCTTCTCAACCAGCTCGACGAACACTTGATCGTACGTAGGCGCTGACGGTGCTGCCATCTGCAGGCGCGTGCGTGCGGAAACGAGGGCAGAGAGAGTGAACGACGTCTGGAAGTGATTAATGTTTCCGTGCATGTGCTGCCATTTGTAGTTGAAAAAAAAAGATAAAATAATCGTGGAAACAAAGGTGGAGAGTAAACCTCGGATACTGTTTGGTTGAAGCATCCGTTGTGATATGGTCGATGCTAGTGACCCCTGATGGTAGTTAAAAGAGACTCACCAGGTTATACTTCTTACAGTATAGATGGTGCTAATTTGGGCGTGTGTCAAACAAGGAATGATGATTTTGTCATCAATAGAAGGATAGAATATGGTAGAGAAAATAGAGGGTAAACATGCTTAATTCAAACAGTTCTATTGATGTTCTTCAATATTTTAATCTTGTTAATTCTGTTGTTTAGAAATTAAACAAGACTCCAATATTCAAGAAGAAGTTTCAGGGGGTGTTTTCTGATCAGAAAATTTGCAAAGACTGTCCACACAGGTACAGTATGAAATAATCAAAAGATATAAACTATTCGTGACTATTCATGGTATTCAATACTTTAACCATGAAAAGTTTCAATCGAATTTTAGTGCGTTCATATAGTTTATAATATGGAAATTAATTAACGTTTCACTAGCAGTTGCCGGACCAGCATTTTTGCGTCATTGAGTTCTGTCAGTGCAATATCCTAACGAACCGTGAATATTTGTATGCAAACGGTACTCGGCTACTACGGTAGTGTCATAGCCATACTATGACGGTTATATTAAATATCATTAAGTATTCAGGGCACGAAATTCAGATTTTTTTTTACCGGCCCAGAGGTCTGATAACAGCATTTTTTTTACCAGCCCTCACAAATTTTGTTTGTAAAATCAATGTCATGTTTCACGCTTGCATTCTTGATTTCAAATTTGTAAAATATTGATAAATTATCACGTGATATTCTTCAGGTAAAACATTAATGTCGGCAATTTGCTCATTAATGCTATAAATTAAAATGCTTAACGCTTCGCTAAATTACTTCGCTAACACGGCTGAAACCACCGGCTCGGAGGGCCGGTGTTTTGGCAATGTTACCGGGCCGGCCCTCCAAATAATTTGCCGGCATATGCCAGTGGGCCGGTGCTAATTTCGCGTCTTGGTATTAAATATTATATTAATTATTATAATGGAAAAAACATTCATTCATAAAATTATTTTATATATCATAATCTATACGCGTGTATAATTTTTGCTCCGGTGTCGCGGCTTGTGGTGTAGGTACGAGAGAGAGGAGACGTTTGCAGCCCTCAACCTGACAGTAAAGACAGGCTGCCTGCAGGATTCGCTCGCTCAGTACGTCAAGGGAGAGCTGCTGGAGGGAGACAATGCATACTACTGCGAGAAGTGTGGCACGAAGGTATGCGTGGGGGCAAGGCAGCAGTCACAGCTCCTGCTAAATCATCATCATCATCATCATCATCATCATCAGCATCATCGTGATCAACATCATCATCATCAGCATCATCATTATCACCGTTATCATCATCAACGTTAACATCATCATCAACATTATCATCATTAATTAAATGAATTTAAAATTAAGCTCGCCGATATCTGTAGTGCAGATTGTGTTGTGATGAGATCTGCTAGTGCTGGTAAGCTGCAAGCTACCGTGTGTGTGTGGAAACGGTTTTTTTTTTACATTTAGTGTTGCAGTTGTTGTTTTTGTTATTATATTTGTTACTGTTGCGATTATGTTGTTGTCATTGTTGTTGTTGTTATAGTTGTTGTTTTTGTTGTTATATTACTTACTGTTGCAGTTATGCTGCCGCTGCTGTTGTTGTTGTCGTTGTTGTGTGTGTGAGTAATGTGGGGCTGTTGTCGTTGTTGTGTGTGTGAGTAATGTGGGGCTGTGTATCTGTAGAGAACGGCTGTGAAGAGAACGTGCATCAAGACGCTGCCACCGGAGCTGTGCATGCAACTGAAGCGCTTCGACTACGACTGGGAGGCCAATAGAGCGCTCAAGTTTGACGATCACTTCAGGGTGCGTGTCAATCATCGTAGACGTACAGTAATGTAGGTTTCCTGTAGAGAAAGAGAGAGAGAGAGAGTGAGAGAAAGCAAGAAAAGAAAAAAGGCCCAATGCTTATGCTATACTTTTTAAACGACATAGGGAATAACGCGGTTATCCACCGCTCACATTAGTGTGAGCTATTGTGTATACATACATATATATATACATATATATATTATTATTATTAGAATGTAATATAGAATCGCACGACGTCGGCGTTGTATCGTGATCCCGCCCTCTCTCTCTCGCGCATGACAGTTCCCCTGGGTGTTGGACATGGAGCCATACACGTCCGAGGGACTCGCACGCAGGGAGTCCGGCGACAACAAACAGGAGGACAACATGATGGAGACAAACCAGCTGGACGCGGTCGCCGTGGCAACGACGTACGAGCTGGTGGGCGTTGCCGTGCACAGCGGGCAGGCCAACGCGGGCCACTACTACTCCTTCATCAAGGACCGCAGGTGAGATGGCTCCCGAAATGCTCCCTGCGATGGCAACCAGCAATGCTCCCTGTAATCAATAACTGATCGATCGCTCGTCACTTGTTTCACGATCTGCAGCGTGGGATGGGCAGAAGTAACCCTCTGGTGTTGCAAAAAAATTTTCACAAGAAGCGATCGATAGCAGAAATTAATAGCTAATCAGTCGCTCGTTAGTAGTTTGATCATGTGTAGGATGAGATGGGTGGAACTGGGATAGACAGATGTGAACCCCAAACTGGGATTTTTTCACAATCGGTGATCAATAACAGTAATCGATAACTTGTCAGTAGTTTGATCGTACGGTGAACAAGGTGGTTGTAACTGAAATGAATAAAGGTGTCCCCCAAACTATAATTTTTTTACAATCGGCAATCAACAACAATAACCAATTAAACAAACAAAAACAAAGCTAGAGTAAACCAATCAATCGCTCGCCAGTAATTTGATCGCGTGCAGGAAACGAGATCGGTGTAACTGACCATGGCGCGCATATCAACCTATCATCACCTTATCATCGACCCCTTGTAGTGGCAACGCTCTGACGAACGCCAACCGCGGCAAGTGGTTCAAGTACAACGACACGACGGTCGAGGAGTTCCTCATGAACAACGACAGCCTCGAGGCGGAGTGTTTCGGCGGAACCTACAAGGCGAAGGTCTACGATCAGTGTGAGTGCGTCATGTTGCGCCGCGCGGGTGTGCGGGGGTCACGTCCCCCAGGGGGGTCGAAGCCGCCTATCGTAATGCGATCTCGGTCGTGTCGATAGCTGTCGTTCGCGTGGATGCAGCTTGTCAGTTCAACGTAATGGGCTTCCGTAAAGTCGGCTGGTGTAGTGAGGCTGCATTTGTAATGTGTTGCGTTTGTTTACGCAGCGAGTTAATATCCTGATACGCAGCACTGATATCTACGTGTTGTTCTCTATCGCGACACGCGGCTGGTGTAGCATGTAGTCAGATGTAATGTGTTGCGTTTGTTTGCGCAGCGAGTTAATATCCTGATACGCAGCGAGTTAATACCCTGATACGCAGCAGCGGTATTGCAACATCAACATGGCGTAGCGTGCAGTCGGGTGTAATGTGTAGCATTTGTCTGTGCAGCGAGCTCGTATCCTGAGACACGGCAGCGATACTGGAACGGCTACATGTTGTTCTATGAGAAGCTGGAGGACCTGAGAGCGCCGCGCATGCGCAGGAAGAGCCGCGCCAAGCAGAAGCAGCAGCAGCTGTCACCCGGGCCGTCACCGTGCAAGGACACGGACAGGTGCGTGGGCATCGTGTGTGTCAGACGTTACCGTAATGTACATGTTATTATGATGTGGTATTAGTGTAATGTAGACAGTTAAAAGTTGACGTGAAGATTAAGAACGTGTGCGTGCGTGCGTGAGTGTGAGTGCACGTGTGTGTGTGTGCATCTGTGTGTGCGTACGTGCGTGCGTGCGTGCGCACGCGCGTGCGTGCGCGTGTGTGCGTGCGTACGTGTGTAACACCGTACGTGTGCATGCGTGTGTGCATGCGTGTGTGCATGCGTGTGTGCATGCGTGCGTAAGTGTGCGTGCGTGCGTACGTGTGTAACACCGTACGTGTGCCGCTACAGGAAGGAGTCGGACAGTCTGTCTGAGCTGTCAGAGCTGGTGAGCGCGGGCGAGCGGCGTGGCATCTTCACAGAGCAGATGCCTGCGCGCATACAGCAGGTCGTCAGAGAGGAGAACTTACGATTCATGCAGAACCGCGACGTATTCAACGCTGAATACTTCCACTTACTCTACCAGCTGACACGCTGCAACACTGTAAGTAACCGCAAGGAAGGAGAAAGAAGGGGAGGGTTCTATTTTCTGAAAGTTTAATATAAAACTCAAACGTAATGTTGTATAGCATTGCTTACAAGGTAAATGTAATATTCAGTGAGCAAATTATATAGTATATATTATATATATAATATATAATAATATTTAGCATATATAGTATATATATAGGATATATAGCAAAGCAAAAAGCACACACAACTATATATATATATATATATATATATATATATATATATGCTTTTTTGTAGTAATGCATGCAGTTGACAGGGGACATTACAAATTACATGGGAATACATGTCTATACTATTGCAGACCAAAGAAGCACTGCAGAACCACCAGGTGGCATTGCAGTCAGTGCAACTAGCAATACAGTTTCTCTTCACTGTTTATTTCCGCACAAAACGATCCCTCAGGTAAGTCTGTTCATTCTCACCTTCTCTTTCTCCTGGTCCCTATTTCACGTCGTGCCCTCCATTGGGTTATGACCGTATTGGCCGTTATTTTACCAAGTCCGAAACGCCGAAATCGTTTTTGTGACCCTTACAGGCTGATGCAGGTGCTAACAATTAAAGTAACATAATAAATTAAACTAAGCCGTACATTGTGACAGCAAATACACTTGTTATCATTTACTTACAATTAAAATAAAGTTAAATGTCTTTAGAAAGAAAAGCTTTTAAGGAAAGCCGATTAAAACCCGAATTGCCTACTTTCGGTATTTGATCACCATCTGTAAACTTTGTGTACTACGCCCCTGTGTGCCGCAGTGACTGGTACATTTCAACGTTCCTGCGAGTATGTATAGTTTGCTTGCTCGCTAACCCTATAAGATTGTGACATGTGACTGTGTGTGGTTTATAGGGCAGATACGTGTGAGTGGCTGGAGTTGTTGGAGCGAATACTGCAGAACAGCAAGGAGGCTTGCAACTGGCTCGTGGATTTTCTCGGCAGCACTAAGGGACAGTCATTTATTGGGTATGCGTGGCAAAATAGTTATTTTAGTTATTGTCGACCGATCCTAGCGGTCTTGTATTATGATGTTATGTGCAGATATCAATACATTAGAGAATGTCATCAGTATATAGAAATGTGGACAGAGGTATTACTGACAGCTACACAGACATGAAACACAGACAGACACACAGACAGACAGACAGGCATATGCAATCCTGAACACGTGCACGCACACACCCACGTTGCATTAAAATACCTTCACACTGTGTACATAATTGTACTAACATAACCATAAGTTGTCATAATTATGGCACTGACTGTTTTATTCACCACACACAGGCCCCTTCTTCTCAACTGTCCAGTGCAGGACGTGAGAGTGGACTTTGCAAGCATCCTACAGAAGACCTTTACCTACTTCTTCTTCCACGGAGGCACCACTGTAAGTCGTCCACATGTGGGCCTATAGATGAATAATTATGTTATATATCCATGAGTATCGATATATTGAATATATATATATAACTTGTTTCTTCCACGATGTAGAATGACAACACGATATAAGTTGTTGTTATATGATAAATAAATAAATAAATAAATGTATATATATATATTTGTGTGTGAATATGGGTCGATATACGAAAATATCTCCCGTAAAATTTCATTTAATATAATTATTTTAAACGTCCTGCAGACCAATTATTAACCACCTTGGTTTGCCAGCAGTGCCAGCAGTTGTTGGGGGGTGGCGCCATCCTGTGGTGACTTTTGGTGGTAATAACTTGTTACAGAGCAGTAAGATGTTTAATGAGGTGATAGAGCTGCTGCTGGAGATGTTAAACAAGGAGGTGCAGGACAACTGTAAGCAGTGCATGCAGTACTTCTGGCTGCTCTGCTCCTACGCACAGATGGTGAGTGAGTGACACGCACACACGCATACACACACACACTCGGACGTACACACGCATGCATGCACGCACACGCACGCACACACACACACACGTAGGCACGCATGCACTAAAGTGTGGTTCGTAAGCCAGGGTTGTCCATTGTACACGGCGTGTTTTATGATTTGTCATGATGATCCCATTATAAGAACTAGAGCTTGAGCTAGACCTTGCCTACGGGTTATTAATCATGTGCTATTCGCCTTTTTCTTGAATCGACAATCAATTATCAAATCTATCCATAGCGCCTTCATTCCGAATTGCATTTGTGATATTTCTATCACCTGTGCTTGATGTTTTACCTGTTCTGAGTGAATGTTCTTCTAGCATATATGTATGGTTATATTGAGTGTTACGCGGGCAGAGAATAAAACGGGCAATTTGAAACGGTGAACCTGACTACAGTTTCTGACGTAATAAGTTACCCACATAAATTAACACGTTAAGCTAATGCTGTCGCTGCTGCCGCGACTGTTTGATGTGTGACGGTTGTCGTTGCTGCCCAGGGTACGAAGGCATGCGCTCACCTGTTTGGCAAAAGCGGATTCCAGCGACTCGTTGGGTTCCTGATCGGACGGTCGCCACCGACAACACCAACGACTGAGGTAGGGCTGCTGCTTCCGATTACCATGATAAACCCATTATTATTATTATTATTATTCATATTAATAGTAGTAGTATCGTTGTTATTATTATTATTATTATTATTATTATTATTATTATTATTATTATTATTGCAAATACAACACTTACGACTGAGCTAAGTTGCCACTGGTACCCACAATGAACTTATTTTAATTTTTTTTTTTTTTTTTAATGATTATTATTATTATTATTAATAAACTACCTGTAACTTTTGCCTATGATGACGTGGCATGGGACGATGCATTCACACTCGTCACTCCATCCTTCTAACCCGTCGATGGATGGCGCGTTGTTATTTTTCAGGAGCTGCAACCACGGCGATGGAGCTCTCTGCAGGCACGAGAGTTTGGGCAGCTGCACGTTGCCCTGGCAACCCTAGTCCTACACTGTGATGTCACTCCCTATAGAACGGTCGGTAAGTGTAGAATACTAGTCGTGCAAAAACATATTCCATGTAAGGAAAGTCTCGCAACGTGACGAGAGAGAAGATGCCACTTATATTACATTGTGCTGATTATCGTCTGCTCGGCCCTCTGGTGAGTGTTTTTTTGCCAGCCATGTTGTCTTGGCCCTCTGGTGAGTGTCACTATAGCAGCCGTGTTGTTCTCTTGTTGCAGCTACGGGGACGCACAAGCTGCCCAGGCTTCACACGCACGTCTCTGAGAGCCATCTGAAGATGCCGGACGATGTTCACTCGATGCTGTACGGCCCCGAATCACTGCGATATGTGAGAGAGGTGAGATATATTATGTATACGCGTTCGTTCTCACTGCACCATCATCATCATCATCATCATCATCACTACTGACAACCGTGATTTCTTCTAATAAGGCCTTTTCGTTATTAATTATGCTTCGGTTGATGGATCTGCTGGCGTAAAAAATTTCAATTAAATTTTCATTTATTTCAGCAGTTTTTGTTGCCTCCAAAGAATAATTGCCTACCTATTTTTAAATGAAAATTAAATGCGCTACTGCTTGAGTATGGTTTGAAAATGCTAGTTGCGATTTATTTTTGCAACGTTTATTGCTGGATAATCATTTTAATGATAAAACTAAAATTAATAAAAATGATAGGCCTAACGATAACACGCCCTCTTGTTCTCGTAGTACCGTGTCCGTAAGTGTAAGTGTGTGTTTCATTCACGGATGTTTTGCATTACAGGTGGCGCTGTCGTGCCGCGAGATAGAGAGCGGTGATGCTCAGGCTAACGTTGACATGGTCGTCTACTGCAGCTTCTGTAATGAGCTGTTCTCTGTCTCCATACTCAGGCAAATCATGGTAAGGGTATGTGTGTCTGTGCGTGCGTGCGTGCGTGCGTGCGTGCGTGCGTGCGTGCGTGCGTGTGTTGTTCTTAGTCGTCATACTTGGGCAAATTATGATGAGGGTGTGGCGGTGCGTACATATCTGCGTGCATGCGTGAGTCTGTGTGAGTGCGTGCGTGTGTGTGTGTGCTTGTGTGCGTGTGTTATGATAACTGATGCACGTTGGGTGTAAGTGTGCATCTCCAATATGCTGAAACTTCGTTTCAGAACCTGTATGCCAGCATCGCATCGAATGAACTAAAGCCAATCTTTGAGCTTCTGATGCGAGTCTTGGTACGTGGAAACTCATACATTCATTCTAGTTTACATGTAGGAGAAAAATTTACCAAACGGTGACTGAAACTGTTTTACATTTATTAACATTTTAAAACTTTTTTGACATTTTTGTTTGTTTTAATTTCAGGATTTTTTTTTTTTTTAATTTCTAGAATATAATTGGTGTAACTGCCCCTTACTCCCCCCCCCTAGAGGCTATGGTCCCAGGACCAATTATTTTGTTATATCTAACAGATCACTAGGTGAGGCACTACAACTAGCTATTCATGGGCGGTGTTGTTGTATGTTTGTATGTATTTTTGCAGTTATTGGAGGATCCACTTCAACTCTACAGGTTACAGTGTATCATCGACGGATACACGGATAAGGAGAAGGACATGCAGTACGATGGAATGCTGAGTACGCTATCATCATCATTATAATTATTATTGTTGTATTTATTGATTTACGAACATTATATGTAGTGACAGTATATAGCTAAAAAGAGCATGAGGTAGCAAGCTCTTCACTCACAGTTTAATGTGTATTGAACCTGAGCTAACTGGAAGAACAATTCTTTTAGTTTGTTGTTGTTGTTGTTGTTGTTTTTAATGATACAAGGCTGATTTTCACACAATCTCGTTAACTTTCAGCTGTGATTAAGATGAATCACGTGAGTGACAGCAGACGCTCATATCAGTGTATTAAGTTCCTTGTGAATCTAGCCAGCAAGTAAGTGCCTTAACATTTCACCTGGGCTTTCACCTGTAATTTATTATTAGTCATGATTATTAATAGAATTGACTATAATAATCAGATTGATAATTAATGTGAATAACCCATGAACTATATTTGTCTGGTGTTATATGTATGTGTGTGCCTACATGTGTGTGTTTGTGTGTGCGTGCGTGTGTGCGTGCGTGCATGTGCGCGTGTGGGTATGTGTACATACCTCGTTACGAATTGTGCGCGCGCGCTTTTACAGATGTCAAGTAGCAAAGGATTACCTTATGCAGACTCCGTCGAAGTGGCAGTGGGCCGTCAACTGGCTCAAGAAGAAGGTGAGCATTCTTTTGTTTTTGTTTATATCAAGCAGCTATGAACAGCAACGTGAATGAGCGGAAGGTCGGTCAATATCCCGCGGCACGCGTGAGCCTGTTCACCGTAAAACTTTCAATTTTCCTCCAGTAGATTGCGCCACTGCATCTATCAGTATAACAGCTGTTGGTAGCAGCGGGCTGCGTATGTGTTTGTGTGTGTGCGTGCGTGTGTGTGTGCGTGTGCGTGCGTGCGTGCGTGCGTGCGTGCGTGCGTGTGTGGTGGAGGGTGCAGCGTGCTGTGTAACCTCTGCTGTAACGTAATGTATCGTCTGTGTGATCTGTAGATGACGGACCATTGCTGGCCTCCCGCGTCCGTGCTCCCTGCCTCGAATGAAGATTCAAACAGCAAGTCATTTCAGCGGACAATCAGCGCTCAGGTAACCGATGCATAATTATAATATAATACATACAATAACAACACGTACGATAACAAAGACATGTTGTCGTGAAATAATATTATGATAATTTTATATTATTATATGTTGTTGTAATCATAAATTTAATGTTAATACTTTTAATTTAAGCATGTAATTATTATTTTTTATGTAAAATTTTCTAGTCGAGAATCATTAATCACTCTGATTTAAAATAACCAATCAACATGCTAAATTAAATATGTATTAATCGATATTCTAATAAATTATAGTGTATCAATATTCTAATATATAATTGTTAATTTATGCATGTGCTCAGGACACGTTGGCAGAGGCTACAGCACTCCTCACAGAGATAGAAAGCAGTGACCAGATGTCTGACATGGAAACCGGCGAATCAGAGTTGTCGTCCACGGCGACGGCGACAACAAACGACCCGCCGGTCAAGATGGATGCCGGCGATGAGCAGACGACAGCGAGAGCGGCGGCATCAGCGATCTCACCTGTGGAGGTCACGCATGCGTCAGCGGGGGTCGTCGCCGCGGCGACGAAGACGGAGACAGTGAGTCCCACTCTCGATAGCATGGACTGATGCTGAAGGGGGTTGGAGGAGGAGGTGGAGGAAGAGGAGGGGACGGTGGTGGAGGAGGAGGAAAGGCAGATGAGGAGGGGACGGCATAAGGGGAAGAGGTGTTACATGTATATATTCGAACTTTGTATGCGGGCCTTCACTTTTGTATTATTCTCGTGAAGGTGCTTCCAAAAACACACGCACGCACGCACGCACACACAAATGCATATACATGCACGCACGCACGCACGCAAATACTCAGACATGCACGCATGCAAATATGCAAATTCATGCATGCACACAAGCACAACATATGCGTACAAACACAGGCTTGCATGCACTCAGATACACACATACAAGCACATGTGCAAATACACTCATGCGTGCACATACACATATGCACACACGCGTGCAGGCACAAACACATACGCACACATGCGCGCAGGCACAAACACATACGCACACATGCGCGCAGGCACAAACACATACGCACACGCGTGCAGGCACAAACACACACGCACACATGCGCACAGGTACAAACACATACGCACATACACACACACGCGCACAGGCACCAACACATACGCACACGCGCGCAGGCACAAACACATACGCACACACGCGCACAGGCACAAACACATACGCACATGCGTGCAGGCACAAACACATACGCACACACGCGCGCAGGCACAAACACATACGCACACACGCGCACAGGCACATACGCATACACGCACGCAAGCACAAACACATACGATACACGCACGCAGGCCAAAACAATGTAGCAGCCGCACGCACGTGCAAACCATACGAACATGTTTCGATACGTGAATAGAGAATTGTACTGACTTTAAGGAGCCGTGTCGGAGACCATGACTGTAGTGATTGTTGTGACTGGGAACTTTCTTCTGTTAAGCTAGATGACAGGTTGAGCAGTTTATATAGCAGCGCGGATTTTTTTCCACGGATGTCGATGATGCGTTACGTACACTACTCTGCATCTATATTCCGTACATCAGAGTGAGTATCTTACATGTATACGCGCGCTGTGAGAACGGTGGCCTGTGACGCAAGCCGCGTGTGGCAAGTTGCGTTCATTGTTGGTTTCGGTGTCTCAGACTCATTTCGGGGGCATCTCGATACGCTGATAAATATGCACAATTCCTACTCTGTGCGCGTAGTAGGATCATATATCATCATACATACCGGTATAGATCGCGTAATAACCGCAGAAATTTGGCACTCACGATTTCAGACCCTGTATTTGCTCTGCGGTTTTATTAAGTGCCACCATTGGCCGTGAGGGGGAAATATTACTAGGCGCAATACTTGGTTACCACGATTCAAGATTGAGGTGCGGGCTTATGCCGCCTGCGTTATTTACTTCGGATCTATACGGTACATAGGATACATAATACACGTGTAGAATATTCTCTGTCTGGTGTATGCGCTGCTGAAACGCACGTGTAAATCAACCACACACGCACGTTGCTGTCATTTGCGGTACACTCCGTGTACTGTCAGTCTGTCGCAACACTAATCAATGCACACGGGCGGCGCACCTCGTTAGAAACATTGTAAACACGTTAGCGTAGCGACAATCGGCGTCGCTAGCGTCTTTCACGTGACGCGATTACTTCGAAAACCATAGGTTCAGAAAGCATGCCGTTTCACAACGCATTTGATGTTTTCTGACAGCGGCCGCCCCCTGGTGTTTGTTAGAAGGTATAGTGCCCTCCATCCCTCGCGTTCTGTGTTTGTGTGTTTCGTGTGTGTGTGTGGTGTGTGTCGTGTCGTGTGTGTGTGTTGTCGGCTGTGCGGCGTGCGTGCGTGCCGTGTTGTGTGCCGTGTGATCACGTTAGAATCATTATCATTATCGCACTGTAAGCTACTGCATGTCATTTGTCAACGCGTTCTCTGCCATTAATCCATCAGTAAAGTGTGTAATGTAATGACGGTTAGATTTGGTAGCATTTCGATGTTAGAGTTGCCTAGTTGAATATTCAAGGGGGTGTGCGATGTCTAGTTAGATATTATGCCATCACACTGATTGATGGATTGATTGATCGAGTTGACTATTCCCTTAGGCTGAAAGCAGGATCTGTTTAAACAACGCAGGGTGAGGGCAAGAGAGCGGAGAGAGAGAGAGAGAGAAGAGACGATAGAGAGAGAGAGAGAGTGTGTGTGGGTGTATTGTGTGTGTGTGTGTGGTGTGTTGGTGGCGTGCGTGCGTGCGTGCGTGCGCTGCGTGCGGTGCGTTCGCGTCTGTGCGTGCGTGCGTTGCGTGCCGTGCGTGCGTGCGCTGCGGGGCGTGTGGTGTGTGTGGTGTGTGTCTTGTCTTGTGTGCGCGGGCGTGCGGCATGCGTGCGTGAGTGTGTGTACACGTGTGTGTGCCGTGCGTTGCGCGCCGTGTGTGTGCGTGCGCGCGGTGGTGTGTTGCGTATGCGCGCGCATGTTGTGTGTGTGTGTGCGTGTGTGTGTGGATTACTCCGCGGTGTGTGTGAGAGAAAGTCTATATGTGTGTGAGTGTGAGAGAAGAGCTGTAAAACGCTGAAATCGCACTTCTTCAAGAACATATGGCCTATGTTCGGAACATCGGAAAGCCCATGACAGTTAGTTAGCCTTCGATATATCGAACAAAAGTTATGATTGATGCAGCTTAGGCTGTCAGCAGTGAGCTTACAAAATTACGGAGAAATAGTTAGCGCACAAATTTACGTAAGATGGAGTGGGAAAAAAAAAAATAATAATTACATTGTGATGTGGGGAAACGAGTACAGCCGGTTGTCGCACGTTCGCGTGTTTTGTTTTTTTGGCGAAGCACGCGGGACGGGAAATCGCGTTTTCAGCTTTGCATGCCAGCCGTTATTTTGTGCATTGTATCTGAAATTTGAATTAGATAATGTCTATGTGTTATATATATATATGTGTGTGTGTGTGCTGTTGTGTGTGCACACACACACCTACACAGGCGGATTTCCCAAGCAGGGTATATACACGATATCTTCACCTGTGGGCAATTGAATAAAAAATAGTTTCTACGTGTCGTGGTGTTGTGCACGGCAATACACAGACTTAACGTAGACCAAGCTACCGCCGCGTCCGTCTCCTAGTTAGTTTCTAGTTGTTAAATCCGATAGTTAGACCCCGCGATACTTCGTAAAGTTTAACACACCATTTCGACTGGTTCACACGCTCCCGAACCTAGTACTGGCTACTGATATATGAATATGAGTGCCTATATACAACTTGGGATAAAGATTACAAATTAAGGTTAGATAACAATGTCCACGTTAGCCTCTTCTATCTAGTGGGCCCGTATTCAGAAAGATCGTACCTGATTACCTATGCATAATAGTTATAAGTACCATTATGCGCACACTGTGGTGTCACGTTGTCACCACTGTCGATGTCAAACGGTGATCACCGTTGTTCAAACATGTGGCCACGTTGATCACACTGTTCGTGTCACGTTATCACACTCGGTGTCACGTTATCACACTTGGTGTCACGTGTCACACTGTTGATGTCATCGTTCACTTCACGCGGTGGTGTCACGTTGTCACACTGTGATGTCAAATCATCACGCGGTGGTGTCACGTTGTCAACATGTGGTGCCACGTTATCACACTGTGGTGTCACGTTTTCACACTGTGATGTCAAATCGTCATGCGGTGGTGTCACGTTATCACACTCTGATGTCATAGCGTCACACTGCAGTGTCACGTTATCACACTGTGGTGTCAAATCGTCACACGGTGGTGTCATGTTATCACAATGTGATATCATATCGTCAGACTCTGGTGTCACGTTAGCACAATGTGATATCATATCGTCACACTGTGGTGTCACTTTAGCACAATGTGATGTCATATCGTCATGCTGCGATGTCACGTTGTCATGCTGTGATGACAATTTCTCACATTGTCAGACGTAGTCGGACAGGACAAGCTTCGGCTAACGAACCGGACTACCTGAATGCACCTGTGTTCTTTACCTGATTTCTACCACTGTTACCTCTTACCTATATCTTTACCTGATATCTCTCGTCTCCGTTTTGCTCCCGCTGCTTCGATGCGCGGAGCGTTACAAATGATGTGTGACTGCGATGTGACGTCATCAGCATCTCTGACGTCATCACCGCGGCTGCAGACAGCTAGGGTTAGTTGGTGTGATGGGATTCTAGTAGTAGTAATAGTAGAGGGTGCTCTCAGGCAGTCTCAGACTGCTGCATATACAGGTGCCGTGAGCAAAATTTGAAAGCTGAGAGAAAAATTCAAATGGCGAAGCTTTCGGGGCCAAGCTGAGGGTGACTGAGAGCAACTTATTAATGACTCGATACCTTTAACCTTCACCCTCGAACCGTGACGTAACGCTGGGAAACAGAGCGACGACTGCATTAATTTACGCATCGTTGAGAGAGTCTGTCGTTTCGTTCGACGACCGAAGACGTGTCGGCGACACGTCGCCGATGCGTCGGCGGTGTGTATCTTTGATGGGGATCGGGAATGCGGATCGAGCGAACGTAATACGTGTCAGTAAACCAGTCATCTGCTTCTCTCGTAACGTGCAGACGTTCTCGCTCCGTGACGTCACTGTGTTATGATGACGTCTGCTGACCTTGCTGTATAGTGTGTGTAGGGGAGGGGGTTGAAGCGCTGCACGTCTGTGCTAGACGTGTGGCGACTATTGTTTGATTGAGTCGCGCATTTTTTTTGTTTGTTTGAAATTTCTATATGGCGAGTAAGATATGACTTGTTTTGTTATGACTTGATTCCCTTTGATTGTAAATAAACGTGATTTTGAACACAGCTTCTTGCTGTTACGTGTGCTATTGGCGTTTCTTCTTGCATGGGTAACTATTTACATAAATAAATAATCATCATCATTGCATAACATAATAATAAGAGTGTTATAAGGGAATTTCTGGAAGAAAGGTGAGCCTCTAACTAAATATAAATATAATAGACAATTACAAACATACATTTATTTAAAATGTAAATTAAAATGTTTGTAAATATC